ATGATTGGTAGAAGTGACTAAATAAAGAAAAAAACTTTTTTGTTTTTATGAATATACGGTTGTATTAGAAAATATATTAAACATGATTTTAATTGATAAGTCTTTTCTTTAGAGTTATGTTCATTCGTCAAGAATATCTATAGCCGATAGAAATATATTAGAAAATGACTAGATATTATTTCTGAGAAGAATGATTCAAAAATTAATTTTATAAGGAAAACTCGCATGTGAAATACTTATTATAGGTTTATATTCTATTTAGTTTGGATATGAAAAGAAATTTATATACTGATGTAAATTATTCCTATGTTATTTTACACCAAAATTTTTTTCTATATGATTACAATATTTCATATTCTAATCTAATGAAGGTTGCATTGATAACTTCTTTGTATAATACTTTTTAATCTATGTATATATAAAAAAAAAAGCCTTGTTTATTCAGTACTTTGTTTTATAATAAGTATATATCAAATTTCGTCAATGTATGATATATTTATGAATAAATATATTTTAATTTAATATAAAATTTCTATAGAATTTCATTAAAAATAATATTTGTGAAAAATCAATATCAAAATATGAGAAAAAATCTATCTTGTTATGTACTTCTTAACTTTTGTTTTCATTAAAAATATTTACTAGAGAAGCTTAAGTAAATACTTGAGCATAATTTTTTTTTTCTTGTTAACACTTAGCTCACTCTTGCAAATAATTTATCTATTAATTTTGTTTTTCTATTTCATTTCAAACATTTTCCTACAGTAAAAAAACATTAAAAAAAAATGGTTTTTTTTAACTCTCTAAAATTGATATATATGTCTAATAATCTTATACATTACCTTTGATTTAATCGATGAAGAACATTTTGATCTTCGATATTCTTTTCGAATAAATTCTATTGACATACCCATTGCAAAACATTTAGCTAATCGACATGATGAACAACATTTTCGTGTTTGTACTGTTATCTTACATTGATTTCCATATTGACATGGATTCATATTCTATATAATAGAAAAAAAAAAAACAACATTTGATCAAAGATATTATTCATTAAAAAAATAATAAACTAATTTTTTTTTACTTTTATATTTAAACTATGACGACGAAAAAATGTTTTACATGAATAACAAGAAAGTGCACCATAATTAATAATACGTGCTTCAGCATTACATATTAAACAAAAACTTAATTTAGTTGTATTTCTTCCTTGTCTTGTTACTATGTTAATATTATCTTGTGATTTTACATTTGTCATTGATGTAGATAGACATTGATAAAACATTATTGTTTGTCAAGTTTAATAAAAAAAAAAATGATGTTGTAGTTGATTTAAATAGGACAATATTTTCTTGCGTGATAAAATGTTAGAATAATTTAGTAATTACGTACTGTGAGAAAAGCTATTCTAAAAATAAACGGTTTTTCGAGAATACTTGCTACTTATCGAGAAATAGTATGTAGATGACTAACTACGTGTTTTTTTTTCTTTTTCTTTTCACATTAATATAAGAAAGAACCAGTGCATTAAAAAAAGGCTTTAGTCTTTTGTCTTATGTAATACATGTCAAATAAAAAATATGAACTTAGAAGATTTGTTTTTCTTGTAAATGTTCTAGAAAGATTGATCTAAACAAATCATGTTTTTTTTTACATCTGTTAAGTCAATTTTAATTATTTACATAAAAATCATATTCAACTAAAGACTAACATAATTACAGACAAAACAACATGTGAGGTTCGATCCGACTTAATAAAATATGAAAGTCAGTGACAACAACATAAAAAAAACTCATTAATGTACCTTTTGACATAGATGTTTCTTACATAGTACAAGAAAATAAAACAACTTCATTTATCTCAATGTTTTGTATTACAATCTAAATCTATCTAGATCGATATGAAAACAAGAGTCATTTAAATTTTATTCATCGTCTAAATTATATATTGATTATAATGGGTTAGATATACGTCAAATCTATTATGAACGAATAAAAAACATATTTTTATTTAAAATGGTTTTTTTTTATTGATATAAGATTAAAAAGTGCAAAGGAATTATAATAATGATATTCGTGCTAATACTAATAAGGAAAAATAAAATAAACTTAAGTACACCTACTCCCTAAGAAAATTTATGTCAATTATGACTTGTACTTTGATGAAGACGTGTATGTTTATTATTACAACGGATAATCTGTTCTTTTTTTCTTTTTTATTAATTATATTTTCAATAGATGAATGTTTACAAATGCAACAATAAAAATATCGTCATTGTCATGTTTCATAGAAATATAGATATAAGGGATGTTCAGTTGTGTTAAAAGATGCGTACTATCTTTTCCTCTCTAGTTAGGTTTTATATTAAAGCATACAGTTAGCAGTTTATGCTGATGCTCATCAATAAAGAAAATAAACTAATCGATTTTCATGACGTTTAAAAAATATATTTTACTATGAAATCGATATTGATGTATCTCTTTCTAGTGAATGTACTCATCAAAGGAATACTCAAAAAATATTCATACTAGAAAATTCCACGAGAACTAGGGGTGAGAAAGTTATTGTTATTGTTACTAATAACAATAACAATAACTTTCTCACCCCTAACGAGAACTCAAGTGTACTCGGTGTGTAATGCTGAATGTTTCTTGGGTACTCCTAAATGGATTTAGCGTACTCTAGTGATTAATGTAAAATATTCATAAACCTGAGTTCAGTCCAGTATTGTTGTATAAAATCCACTTTATTTAGATAAAAAAATAAAAAATACAGAAATACATAATAAAAATTCGAACAAAAAAGAAATGAATATGAGAACAAAACAGCTATCATTTAATGTTTACACTGTTTTAAAACAAATAATAGAGCTTAGAAAAATATCTTTCTATCTCATAAAATAAGAGAATACACTAAAATACAATAAAATGTAAGAAAATAAAAATAAAAAAATAAATTATTCTGTGCAACAGAGAAGTCTAATTACAAATAAATATGCAGTGTTAATTACTACATAAAAAATCAAATAGACATTGTTTAAATCATAACCGTTTCTAGTCTTTTAGTAATTTACAATAAAAGCTACACAATTAAAATTATTTGTCAATAGTATTATTCAGTTAAACTGACAACCTGTATTTTAATGCACAATTTTTAATCTAAATTTAAAAAAAATTAAATTTGAACGAATCTATATTAAAATATTCAAACAAATATTCAATATCATATACAGTAAGACTCGACCAAAACTTATTTAATGATAATATCAAACAAATTATAGTATTTAAAGAGTTGAAAAATTGAATATAGTAATATATGCATATCTCTACTCAGAAGACGTAGTAAATTAGATGGTTGTAGAATATTCAATAAATCAATAAGTTTTGGCCACTGTACAGACAGACAGGATAAAATTGATTGAACAGTTGAGGAAGCTCCTTCGTGAGATTCGAAAAAATACCGACAGATTTTTGCTGCCATACTCTGTTTTAAGTTGTATTGGCGAGAGTCGATGAATTTTCACATCTACCGATCGGTTTCATACGCCATACTGCGTTACATTTGGCCTTGTTACATAAGTGAATTCTAAAGGATCGGACTGGCATGTTTCCGACATAATTCGATCCGGGATCTCGATGTCAGATTGCGATGAAATTCGGCTAGATCTGTTGTGAGATCTCGCATTATACGCTTTTTTTTTCTAAGAGAAAGATCCGAACGATTCTAGTAACATCCAATAATTGAATTCGATTTTTTAGGGTAAAAACAAAAATGATGAAAATCACACGTTTTTAGTACTATCATGAATTGTGCTCGTAATACTACAACATCATCTGCAAGATGTTGTGTTGCTTTATCGAGATTACCAGAGCTTTCAAGTATTACATATTAACTATCAGATGCTGCCATTAGAGAATGAGGTTAGCAACAAACAAACCTTTTAAGTATAAGTTCATTTTCTAGACGGTTTTACTAACTCATAGGACTCCGTGCGTTAGTATGACAATGACGCAACCGATTCCATAAATTTAATATCTAAAAGATGCTCTATCTTTATCCAACCACTTGTTTTTTATGAATCGAATATAGATTATTATTCACGTACTAAAGAAAAATCCAGATCAATGACACATTGAATTTAAAACACTATTAAACGGTATTGATACTTCTCCTGATGATCTGATTTATCCATCCGTTCATTAATTCGGATCATTTATTTTTCTAAAAGCAAAAGCTTATGAATCGGCTATTCAATAATCATATTGACTATCTTGTCATTATTAGGTTTGATTACATGAAGTCGATAGAAATTTTAAATGCCATTGAAAGCTTATGTCATCATTTGAAATCAAACTCACTCATAATACCCTTCATTATAACAATATTTATTTTGCATTCTAATAAAGCTGCATCGATTGACAATGAGAAGCGATCAACGTGTCTTATTTCAAATCAAATTACAAGCAGATACAAAAGATAAAAAGAACACAACTAAATAAATAGCACTACAGATATGCTTGAACAATATTACTTTGAGACAAGGTTGAGCGTGCATGAAGAAAAGTCACAAACATTCATTAGTATTTGTACAAACATCGACATTCTCATGTCTATTGTCAACATTCTTAGTGAAGAAGTAGTCCATGTGATGAAAAATCTATAGATATCCTAGGTTTTCTATCTAATCCTCGTTCACAGCAATTAAAGAAAAGCTGAGTGCATATAATCGGCCTGATTGTACGTGTTCAAACTACGTTTGCCATATTTACATGAATTATTCGTAACTCATTTGTATCAAAGCAAACTTTGTAGTTTCTTATTGCAATTTTCAAACTATAACAAGTACAGAGATTTAACTCATTTAATGAGTTCCGTACATGGCATGAACTTATAGTCGTGATATTTTGATCAATACATACGAATATTTCAGCTGAGAATTGATATATGAGCGTATTTATTTCAGAAAAGATTTTATAGTGAGAAAGAAACAAACAGATTTAATGTTCATAATTAATTAATTTTGATAATAATTTAACTTCTTGTTCCAAATCTTTATCTTGAATTTGTGCCATTTCTGATTCAAAATAGGTTAAGAATGTTTTGAATTGTTCTCGATATTGTTTTGATATGATCAACTCAGTTGATTGTCGTTCCCAAGGACTCAATTTTTCAGTATTCGTTTCTTTCAAATCCAATAAATTTTTCTTTTCATTATATTTATGTTCTCGTTCATGGTTTATCCATTCTTTTAATAGTGTAACATAATTAACTAGAAGAATAGCTTTTTGTATACCAGTATTTGTATAGTTAATCTCATTTTTCATATGAATATAGATCGATTGTTTTTCTTCGCATTTATTACCAAGACGATCTTCATATGTTATTGAAAAGTTTGCTGTCGTTGTCAAAGTATCTATTATTGATGTTTTTGTCTTCAATTTTAATAGAACAACACCACCACGTGTCTGTTGTTCATCGTCTGTTCGTGATGGAAATAATGTATTAATTTTAATACATTCTCCTTGTTTAGTTTCATTGCATTCAGGTGAACCGTAAACATATTCAACATCGAATAAATCTGATTGAAGTTTCATTTCAACATTGAATACTAATGGTGTCAAAATCAAATCAAAATCTTTGTCCAATAGTTGAAGAAATTTTTTTGAATCATGAACAGCAAAATAATTGGCTCCACGTTGTTTTGTTATCGAAGATATTAACTGTGTATTGAGATCAATACCAACACCAATAAATGTTGTATAAATACGTTGTTTGGCCAATTTTTCAATGCGTGAATAAAAACTTTCTGTATCTAAACTACCTTGATTTGGTTGTGCATCAGTTAGAAATAAAATTCGATTATCATAATCATTATTTATCACTGAAGAATCAGTCTCAAATGCTAATGCACTACAGTCAATACCAGCACTCATATTTGTACCACCATCAGCACGAATTTCAGATAAATGATTTTTCAATTGTTCGATATTGAGCTCAATTAATTTCTTCATAGGTTGAACGACATACGCTGCATGATTAAATGTAATTATGGCTAGTCGATCGTTTGACTTTAAATGATCCAGTACTTTTGATATAACTTCAATGGTTATCAACATTTTTGATCGACTATCATATTCACTATTCTGTTCAGTAGTACTAAAAACAGATAGTTTTAAATGAATAAAATTTCTTTATTTCTACAAGAATCAGACTTTATGTCGTCTACCAGGAGAAATGAAAGGCTAGATAGAAAAACAAAATTGTACCGAGTGAAGTATGTAATGATATAATAAAAATATTATTACATGTTTGTGCTCGTATTATAATCATTTATAATTTTCAGAAAGCTACTAGTAAATAAAACTTCCTTGTCATATATAGTTTCTAGGAAATTTTTAAGAAATCAATAAAAATTTGTCGAAAAGAGTTGACATGGCTTTGTACATTCATATGTTTTCTCATGAAACGTATCATTTTTACTACACTTAACTTTTTCTATGGCATCAGAAGTCGTAAGAGTTTGAAATGTTTTTGTAAATAGTCATCACACAGTAAATGATATTGTACGAAAGAATATTTTCAAGTATTAAATCACTTATTTTTCTTGCAAATCAAAAATCAACTGTAGAATCTTGATCAATCCTCTACATACATGTTTCAGTTCTCTGAAAAAGTGCATGACAGTTTCAAAGGTAATACGGTCTAGAAACGGGATAGCTGGATCTTAGAAACTGGCTTCAGACAAGTTTACCTATCGACATGAGTATACCATATTCAGAATCAACGCTTTGAACTATTTATAAGAAAACTGTTTTTTTCAGAACAATTTCTTACGCGAAAACATTCTCTTATTAACATGAAAGACGAAAGTGATTTTAGTTTTATTCTTCAGTAAAATGTTTCCTGATATATGCATGAAACTAGAAACTAATCTATATGTTTATTCTTCATGAAATTCTACAGAGCTTTCTCTTGGCATAGAAAACTTATATAGCTTGTTAGAGTACATATTTTAAGATATTGTTAAATTTTCTATGCTTCCACTCTGATAGAATCTAATTATGTACCTGTTCGAATGGCGACGATCGTAATGATAACGATTGAACGGTGATGACATCGATCCACTTATGTCGACACAAATAACTAGATTCATTGGATTTCGTTTAAATGTTTCTTCATTTAGATTTGAATTCAATCCAACAGTCATGTAATATTCATACAGTTGTTGCTCATTTATCATTTGTAAAGGATTTTTTGTCACAGCCATTGAATATGATGGACAAAATAATTGTTTTTTATCATTATCTTCATGTTGATTACCAGTATCAAAAAAATAATCATTAAATAGACCTTCATAGGATATATCAGTTATGATAGGTAAATAATTATTTTGAATATTTTGGCGAAAATTATTCACATCTTTTGCACCACCTACAGCAAATCCCAATGCTGAAGGTCCTCCTCGCAAACCTAGACAATAAAAATAAACATTTAGATTTGAAAATTGAAGAAATTCTATCACTAACGAAGAACAAGATGAAGGGTTGCTTCCTTTTGAATATTATAATCTGATAATGTACGTCCATCTTCGAGGTGTTTTCCGGAAAATATGATACGTTGTTGATCAGGTGGAATACCTTCTTTATCCTGGATCTTTGCTTTGATATTTTCAATTGTTTCCGAAGATTCAACTTCGATTGTAATCATTTTACCAGTCAATGTCTTGATGAAAATCTGCATGCCACCACGGAGACGAAGAACGAGATGGAGTGTACTTTCCTGTAGAATATTGTAGTCGCTCAATGTTCGACCATCTTCGAGCTGTTTGCCAGCAAAAATGAGACGTTGCTGATCAGGTGGAATACCTTCTTTGTCGTGAATCTTAGTCTTAACATTTTCTATCGTATCATCCAACACCACTTCTAGTGTAATGGTCTTGCCAGTGAGTGTTTTTACAAAGATTTGCATATTACTTTTTAATCAGTAAGAGTAAAATAGGCAAATCGAATAGATTTATTGTATGTGTAATGTAAGTGAATAGAGACACTGGATATTTATATAGAATTTTATAATACAACGATGAATCAGTCTAAAATTATTTATCGATGTTGATGCAAGTCAAAACAAAAAATGACGCTGATTGATGACTCATTTTAAGAAGAGAAAGGAGGAAAAAAAATATGATCTGAACGAATAAACCAAGGTAAAAGATAAACATCGCACTGTTGAAAAGTATATTACAAAGATTATTAGGTATGTATGGTGCAATATTTTTAAAAATAAACGAAGAAAAGTATATAGCAATTATAAGTGTTATGGGAAACTTCAGCAAAATTGAAATCATCATGTTAGTAGATCATTATCATGCTCTATCACAAAAATAATAAAGACTCGTCTTCAATTAGAGCTAAGTATTGAGAATAACAGAAGTATTGCTTTGCAAAAAGTGTTACTGACAACATGTGACACAAATCAATCGAATCTTATTGATTGTCTCGATTTCAAAGAGGCCATAGGCGGCGCACCAGCAATGCAATGGTTAGCAATTGCAACCCCTAAAATAAATTATTAGAAGCAATAAAAACTTATTGCTTTCTTTAATATTTTACGCTTTTTGTATATCCTACGTTAAAAATTTTACTTAACATAAATATATTCGATGTGATTCTGTAGTTTATGTATGATGATGGTATCTTAGTCTCAGGAATTGTTTATTGCTATCTTGGTGTATGTGTTTTCCTGCTATATATAACAAGTACTCCATAATAAATGCTCTGCTTTTCTATTTCATATCTAAATCTTTAAATACTTTTTAGAAAAACAGAAAATACCACTAGGTGCAGCGTGAAAAGCTCTACAATCAAATAAAGCAAAGCTTATTTTAATTGTGTGCTTGGTCTTTTCAAAAATAATGGCGTAACCAGGATTTTGGCAGTGATAGGGCACCGTATCGCTTAAATATCTGGTAATTAGACGTAGGTGAACGATGTCTGTGGAGTAGTTGGGCTCATAAAGAAATTTAGCTGACAAAACTAAGATGGGCAGTTGGACGGCGCTCAATCATGCCCTACCATAGTTATGCCACTATTCAAAAGAAACGAAATTCTGTGCAATCAATTTTCGACGCTACACAAATCGGTCTCACAGAATCTTGCTTCTTTTCAAAGCACAAAGTATACGATTAAAATAAACTTTATTTTACAGATTGTTGAGCTTTTCACGCCGCATCTTATGGTTTATTCGATAGTGTTTGAAGAGAACGCATTAGGTGATAAAACATAAAATAGAAGAAACAAGAATGCCCATTTTGCAATCGTAAAAATTGATGAAATAGAATTTTACTGTTTTCCAAAACAAAACGTTCACGATTAAAATAAGCTTTACTTTGAAAACTGTAGACATTTTCACGCTATATCTTATGGTATAACCCGGTTTTAAAAGAAACATATTTAGAGATTAAAATATGAAATACAAAAACCGGCATTTATTATGGACACCCGTTAGAATAATATTATGAAATTGAGACTGATGCTATCGTAACTGTGCAAACACTTGTTAGATCTAATAATGTTCCAAGACCAAAATTAAAGAAGTAAGTCTACAAGGGCTGGCCCGAGGTAGACAAAATTGAGGGTTGTCGCAATTTTTTGGGGGATTGTCCCAGATTTTCCAATAAAAATAATTTGTTTAACAGAACGCAAAAAATTTCGACTTCGCTGAAAAAGAACAAAAATTTTCAATTATAGGAAGGTTGTCACAACACCCACAGTCCCCGAGTCGGGTCAACCCTGAAATCTATTCAATAAAAAGTGCATAAAATAATTAAAGTGAGCTTAATGCCCTACCAGAGGAGTTAATGCTCAAGCTTTACATACAGCATATTCGAGAAGTTAAGTTCTCGCGAAAAAAAAATTTTCCATCGAACTGAATGGGGGGCGGGGGGGATAGAACTCAGTTAACAGTTTATTGCTACCCCTATAAAACTGACCTTGCGCCGCCCATGAAAGAGGCCTATTTTATACATTCATTAATATCAATGATGATTTGACGCCAACACGTACACGCAATGACCTTGATCCACGAATATGTATCGAGCTTTATCGAATTGATCATAACGGCTACCTTGTCTTTTGCCACCTGCGAACGCTGTCCATTAGAATTCTCCTGTTTTATATCGTCTAACTTCATGTCTTTTAACGCCAACGATGGATATGGATATGTATCAGTGAGGATTTTCGAAAAAAAAGATCATGTCCAAAATTAAAAACGCTTAAGGCTTTCAGAAGCAATCTTGGAAATTTTCGCAACGACATGAAAATGTGTATAAACTCTTTTTTTGAATGTTCCATAATGAGGAATTTTCTCAGTTTTACATCGAAATGTTATAATGTTATTCATATTCAAAGACTAACACGTTGAAAGAAAATAAAACAAGTATTCGTATCGAGTTTGGAGGATTAGCCACTCTTTATTCTTAATGAATTTGTAGCGCTTTTCTTCATCTAAATCGTTTGAAGTCCTGTTCGAGACAGAGATTTTTTACTAATCAGAATAATACTCTTTTTTCAAAGCACATCAAAATGGTGAAATATGTTATGTGAGTGTTCATTTCAACCTTATCCGATCTCGTCATTGAAGCCAAAGGTTTACTGTTCTGAAAAAAAAGGAGTCCTGCTATCGAATAAAACGCAGAACCATCAAAATAGTTCAATCTGATGTAAAAGCTATTGCAGTTTAATGGTTTATCATAAAGCCTTACTAAATTTCTAGCAACCAGTACTGTATTTGAGAAGAAGTTCAATATTAAAATATGCTATTTTTTAATTTGAAAAAACATACTCTTAGAAGCTGTTATCCTTAATTGACCTTGTTATGATCTAAAACTCGTTAAGAGTTTCAGAACTCCTGAATATCTCAAAGAAGAAAATGATGTGATAAAAGGCTGCAGTCGAGTTAACTATTCTTCAAACTGAAGAAGACATTACTCAAACTTTATCGATGGCTTTAGCAAACAATCTGTTCAAAAAAACATCAATAAAAAAAGTAGAATAAAAGACTAATCTATTATTTTTTAACAACCACTTCTTATTCTAGTGACTACTGGTACTAATTTATATATAGAAAGTAAAAAAAAACACGTGTTCATATCGAAATAGTACTAACATGATTAAAATTTATTTTTAATTTAAATTACTGATAATTTAGTATGTGTAAAAAGTAAAATAAAAAGTCGATATAAATCTATGTTAACAAAATCTCGTCAGTTTAAAAGAAATAATCAATTAATTACAGCTTTTTGTGAACATGATAATAAACCACAATTAATCGGCGATTTTCTTACAAACTTCAATAGTATGTATTATTAAATAAAAATATTTACTTTCTTCTTTTAGGATCATGAGACTATTTCAATGAACAGCAAACATTATTTGTTGTCTACACGTTTAACTATCAAGAAAAACAGTCAAAATCAATCGTTTTATAGAAATACATAAGCTCTATAACTTCGAAATTCATTATCTAACATTTGAAAAGACTTACTCCACAATGATCTTTTATATTCGATCTATTCTAGTGCCAATATCTCAAAATGATCATGAAAACTCGATAGTTTTCAAACAAACTTTGAGCTTTGTCTATAGAAAAATGATTTCATTTTTACAACTATATTGTCAATTTTATTTGTAAATATAATTGTATAAAAAAAAAAAAAGCACATAGTCAAAACTTAATTTGTAGCTGTTGTTTTACCCATATCAACATCCATTGCCATAGAATTTTCATCTCGTGTTTCAACAAGTCGTGTTATAACTGATTCAATACCATTTTGTTGAAATTCAGCTTGTAATGGTTCGAGATTAGTATCAAATGAAGCTGAAGAACCAGTCGACAATAAACCTAGTAGATTATCAATTTTAGTTAAATCAGGACGTTCACGATTGAATTTGAACTATAAAAAAAAAATATATATATATATATTGTTTTATTTTTGTTTTTCTTCTTACTTGAAGGACATCTGGTACATTAGCATTGGTAAATTGTGAATACATTTGTCCTTGTGCATGTTGATGAGAAAGAAACGAAATAAACACAAGTTTAGCTGGATAAATTTCAGCACGATATTTCATAAATAATTCAAAAAATCGTGTTGAATTACCATCAGCTGTTGTACCATTAGCATTTTCTTCTTCATCAGTAACCATAACAAATGTTTTAATGACTTCTTTAGCATCATAATATGGTACAAGACCAGCAGCATTTGCTGTTGAACCATCAGCTTGTGTAACAAGTGCTAATGATAAAACATCTTCTAAAGTTTTTGGAATAAATGCTGGTTGAAATACTTTATCATTGAAAAAATTAAGTTTAGCTGAACAAATTGCTGTAAGTAATGATGAAAGTATAGTTGCTGTACGAATAGCAACTTCCATTGAACCTGATGCATCACCAATAACAGCTACAGGTGATTCTAATGGTAATTTTATTTTTTCAAGTTGAGCTTGTGCTACGGGTAATAAATCTGTATAAAATTTTGCTTTATCTGGATGTGCTGGTTGATTTGATATTGTAGTTCGATTAGTTCGACGTCCATGACGTTGAGTTGTTGTTGATTCACCTTCTCGTAACATACGACAAAGTAAAAGACGTTCCATTAATTTACCATATGGTAATGTAATTTGTTCACCATCACGTAATCGTTCACTAATAATATCATCAACAGTTGAACATTGTAAATCTTCATAATACCATAAAATCGTATCAAGTTTATCTTCTTTAGAAGCAATTTTAGCTTTTGATGATTCATTTAAATGTTCTTTAAATTGTTTTAAATGTGAATATGGTATAGAAAATTCTTTTAATAGATCATTAACATTTTCATTTGTTAAATTACGACAACGTGCAACCATAGTTTCAGATGGTGCTGGTGTACCAAAACAAAATGGTAAAAACCATGATAATGCTGGAAA